TCACTTTGTGCGGCGTCCGTGGCTGATGCACGGTCTGGGCGTGGGCGTGGGTGCGGGTATGTGGGTGGCCTGGTATGTATGTGGGTGCGGGGCGGGGCAGGAGTGGGTGTGGATGAGATGGGGGTATGTGATGGGCAGGAGTGGAATGAGGGTGGATGCGGGTATGTGGAGTCTGGGCGTGGGTGCGGGCGTGGTGCAGGAGTGGGTGTGGGCTGCAGGATGTGGTGCGGGCGTGGGTACAGGAGTGGATGAGGTGGATGCGGGAATGTGAGTTGGGCGTGGTGCGGGCGTGTGCAGGAGTGGTGTGGGCGGATGAGTGGATGCAGGTATAGTGAGTGTGGGCGTGGGTACAGGAGTGGATGAGGATGGATGCGGGTATGTGAGTCTGGGCGTGGGTGCTGGGGTGGGTGGCGGAGTGGGTGTGGGCGGATGAAGATGGATTGCAGGTATGTGAGTGGCGGGCGTGGGTACAGGAGTGGATGAGGGTGGATGCGGGGTATTGTGAGTCTGGGCGTGGTGGCGGGCGTGGGTGGCAGGAGTGGGTTGTGGGCGGAATGAAGTGGATGCAGGTATGTGATTGCGGCGTGGGTACAGGAGTGGATGAGGGTGGATGCGGGTATGTGAGTCTGGGCGTGGGTGCGGGCGTGGGTGCAGGAGTTGGGTGGTGGGCGATGCAAGATTGGATGCTAGGTATGTGAGTGCCGGGCGTGGGTACAGGAGTGGATGAGGGTGGATGCGGCTTTTGGGTGCGTAGGCGGTTTGCGTGTGTGATGTCTATTTTTTTCGTTGTGTGTTTATTTGTATGGTGTGTTGTGTGTGTGTGTGTTGTGTGTGTGTGTGTGTGGTGTGTGTGTGTGTGGGTGTGTGTGTGTGTGTGTTGTGTGTGTGTGTGTGTGTGTGTCTATGTGTGTGTCTGTGTGTGTGTGTGTTTGTATGTGTGTGTGTGTGGTGGTTGGTATGTGATGGTGTGTGATGTATGTGGTGTGGTGTGTGTGTGGTGTGTGTGTGTGTGTGTTGTGTGTGGTGTGTGTGTGTGTGCGTATGTATATGCGTGTGTGTGTTTCTGTGTGCGTGTGTGCGTATGTTTCTGTGTGCGTGTGGTTAGCTGTCCTTTAAATGTAAAATGAAACGAAGTTAAAATTCACAGGAAAAAAGAAAAGAAAGACAAAAACAACAAACAAACAGCCGTAAACGATAGAAATGGTTAATGAGGGAGAACGAGAAAGAAAAAGGAGAAACTGACGTGGAATAAATAAATCAATAAAAGGGAGAATCATGGAAAATCACCGAGAAGCCATACGAAATAGTGACCATGGCGAGGAGAGAGGGGAAAGAGGGAGAATGGAAGGAAGGGAGAGGGGAAAGAGGGAGAGGGAAAAGGGAAAGGGAAAGAAAGGAGAAGGGAAAAGAGGGAGAAGGAAAAAAAGGGAAAGGGAAGAAGAAAGAGGGAGAGGGAAAGAGGAAGAGGATAAAAGGGAGAGGGGAAAGGAGAGAGAAGGGAAAGGAGAAAGGGGAAAGAGGGAGAGGGAGAAAGGGGGAGAGGGGAAAGACGGAGAGTGGAAAAGGAGAGAGGGAGAAAAGGGGAAGATTGAGAAGAAGGGAAGTGAAGAAGATTGGGGATAGAGGGAAGTAGAAAGTAGAATTAGAAGGGTAAAATTGGAGGAAGAGTGGAAGAAGGAGAAAGAGATAGAGATTGAGAGAGAGAGAGGAAGTAAAAGAGAGAAGAGAGAGAGGAGAGACTGGGGAGTAGAAAAGAAGAAGCAGAACGAAGAAATGAAGAATAAAAACCGAGAAAAATGAGAAAGGGGAAAAAGAAGAGGAATAAAATAGAAAAAAAAAAAACATTCAAATGATAGGAAGAAGAAAGGAAGGACAAAGAAGAGAAAAAGGAAGAAGCGAAAGACAAGTTTATGGTCTATTCAAGGAAGGAATTAACACCAGGGGAAGAAGAATCACACCGTGGGAGAGAACTGGAATGATGACGAGGGGAGACAAGGGAGGGGGGGGGGAGGGGGGAGGGGGGGAGGGGAAATATGATATGTCAGGCAATAATGAAGACAGAGAAAGAAATCCAATAAATGTGCGATTATTGTGGGAGAATTATCGAAGAAACAATGATTGTACGAATAGCCTCTATGAATAGCAACATGCGAATGAACTAAAACATAAAAGTATATCATATATATATATATATATATATATATATATATATATATATATATATATATAATATAATATATATAAAATTACATAAAAAAAGAAAAAGAAAGAGAGAGAGGAAAAAAAAAATATATAATATACATATATATTATATAATATATATATATATATATATAAATAATATATATATATATATATATATAATATATATATGTATGGTAATGTGTGTATGTATGTATGTTGTATTATGTTATATGTGTCTACTTTTACCTAAAGATTATCTAATGACAAATGCATATGCATGATGATAATAATAATGAAAAATGATGATAATGATGTAAGTGAAAATATCTATATTATTGATCAATGCGAGGCAAAAAATGTAATATATAGACAAATAATTTAAAAAAATGAAAAAATAAAAATAAGAATCGATAATANTATCAAACCAGAAAATTCATCCAGACTTTGTCCTACGCCAGATATTAAGCTTTCCTCATTAGAATCCAAATGAAAGTCCAATCCGACCGAACTTTTCAATATTTTACCCTCTTTACAACAAAGACTAGTCTTATCAAAGGGGAACAGCATGCCATGATGAGCGATATCAACCAACATACCCAGAGATTTATAAAGATTTCTCATCATTATTCACCGCCCGTTTCAAATGATTCATTGGACGCGACTCGTGAAACATGGCGTGGGGGATCCCTAGATTTAAACGCAATAATGACACATTATGAAACATTAAATGAATGAAAATGCTGAGGCTATGATCGACATGTGGCTATACCCGAGGGCGTCCGACACACCAAAAGCCCACATCAGTTATACAATTGGAATGGAAAAGTATATTTGGGAGCCTCTGTTTTGATACGAATATATTTCTACTTTTAGAGTCTGGGATATGTTCTTTTAATATGTTCTTTTACATGTTTTCTTTCTCTTTCATAGTTGATTCATATTCTTTCGTTGCAATTCTGTTTTATAGGCAAGGTAAAATCACTAACTTTGATTATTATTTTATCACGTCATTGTCATAAAATCAAATGAAGTTCTTTATTATCGTTATCGTTATAATATTCATTGTCATTACTGTTGTTATCGCCATTATTATCATTTACTGTTATCATTAATAATTTTCGCTATCATTGGTATCCTTATGCTATAGTTGATTTCATTAGTTCATCTCTAATCATCGTCAACATCATTATCATCAATAGTATCATATTTCTATGTTTGTTTACCTAATATCTTGAATAATAAGTCGATTTTACCGGCAATGCAAAATCACATTTGCGTCAATCATAGGTATACTGTAAGCCAATGATATTCTTTTAGCGATTCACTGTAGTTATCATTTCTATTGTTATATCAATATCATGTTACAACCATTACTATTTTATGCAATAATACCAATAGCTTTCAATACCGTTGAAATTGATACTATTAAGACTACAATTGATAGCATTATTACGATCCTAAAGATGATAGTTACAAGAAACGCTATTGTTACTTTCTCTTTTTCTTTGTAATTGTCATGATATTCTCAAATCATTTTATCGTTGCTGATATCGTTCATACTTTTGCTGCTGCTAACAATCGGATGATAATAATGATAATACATGATCATATAGTGATAACAATAATGATAATAACAGTCATCATCATCATAATATCATTTTATGGTAAAGATAACCAAAGTGGTAGTAAATGATTAGTATCATAATTATTTCTCAGAGCATTTGGCTAGGAATTTTACATATGTTTGTAATGATAAAATATTTATCGTTAAATATATAGTTTTTTTTTTTTTTTTTTTTTTTTTTTTTTTTTTTTTTTTACTTGCTCATGAATAGCGTGTTTATTTTATCATTAAACTTCTTTATTGTACTCTACATCTTCTTTAATCTTAAAGAATATTGAATGATCTATTCTTTCACATAACATTTCACTCCTAATCTGTATATTCAACACCCTTCCAAACGCGGATCCGACCGAACTAAAACAAAACAAAACAAAACCTTAAAAAACAAAAACAAAAAAAAAAAAAAAAAAAAAAACGAACAAAACCTTTTGAACGATAATCTAATCTCGCAACATTGCAACAGACAACATGGCACAATCCACGCTAATCTGACATCATCATAAACAGAATATTGAAATTACTTTCCCTCCCACCGACATTATTTGCGACTCGGCATGGAAGATTCGCCGCCCGTGACTAGTGAAACGTGGCAACAAAAGTCCCAAGATTTAAACACAATAATAACACGTAATAGCGGCTTTGATTGACGTTCCAAAATACTCTCGGGTTTCAGCTGTTTCAGAATGTTGTGTCAGTCATGTTAATGCGGGGAATGTTGTGCCTGGACGCTATATATATTTTCTGTCTTTTTTCTAAATTGTTATTGTTATTTCATTGTTATTGTTATTATTATTACTATTGTTATTATCATCATTATCATCATAATCATTATCATTACTATTATTGTTACTGTTACTGTCATTATCATCACTTTTATTGTTACTGTTTTTATTATTGTTATCAACATTATTATCATAATCATTATCATTACTATTATTGTTACTGTTACTATTATTATTATCATTAATAGTATTGTTACTATTATTATCATTATTACTATTATCATTATCATTACTCCTCCTATTGCTATCATTACTAGCATTACTTTCATTGTTATCATTATCATTATTACCATTATCATTATTGTTATCATTATTATTATCATTATCATTATCATTTTTATTATTTCTATTTCTATATCATTATTGTTTTTATTATAATTATTATTGTTACTGTTATTATTATTGTTATCATTATTGTTATTATTATTATTATCATCATTATCATTATCATTACCATTACCATTATCATTATCATTATCATTATCATTATCATTATCATTATCATTATCATTATCATTATCATCATCATCATCACCATCATCATCATCATCATCACTACTTTAATTATTGTTATTATAAGGATTATTATTATCAATATCATAATTTTCATTACTATCATCATCATTATTACTATAATCAGTATCATTGTCATCATTATCATTATTATCATTCATTATTGCTATAGTTATCATTATCATTATTATTGTTATTATTGTTTATATTGTTATCATTGTTATCATTGTTATTGGTATAACTATTGCAGTTATCATCATCATTATTATTACTTCGATTATTATTATTTTGATAAGGATAATAACAATGATGATAATAAGAACAGCAACAACAAGAACAACAATAATGATTATGATGATAATGATAATAATAACGAAATTATAATAATGATAATGGTAATAATGATGATAATAACTATAATAATATAATAATAATAATGATGATGATAATAACAATAATGTAGTAATGATAGCAAGAGAAACAGCAATAGACAATGATGGACAATGATAATAATTATAATGATAATGATGATATGATAGTGATAATAGAAAGGAGAAAAATAATACTGACAATAATCATAATGATGATGAAAACAAGGGTGATAGCAGTGATAAAGATAATAATGATAGAAATAATAATAACACAATAACATCCGTAAGTAATAATGATAATGAAAAAAATGATAATGATAAAACTAATAACATTAATAATGATAATAACATCAGCAATAATAATAATAAATGTAATAACAATAATAATGACAATGATAATAAATATAATAACAATGATAATAATGATAGATTTGATAATAATAAGGATGATGAACATCATTATTGTTGTCGTTATCATTATAATCATCATTTTTATTGCTAATATCGTTGCCATAATTAACATAATTGTTTTCATCATTATTGTCCATTTTTGTTATCACCATCCTTGTAATCATTATTTTCACTGTTATAATTCCTCACAAATATCAACATTATTATCAATCTGACCTTTCTCGTTGCAAATTTTTCCATCATCATAAATATCGGTATCATATTCATGATTTTTTTTTTTTTTTTTTTTTTTTACATTTTCGAACTATTATTACTGCAAATTTCTATTGTGCGCTGATTTTTTATACCACTATTCCTATTCATATACAGAGCCCATATCTTTGTTGTGGTTGCAATAATTGTGTAAAATATAATCCTGTTGCAATGATGGCCGGGAATGCAGTTGAATCGAAGCATAAAAGAGACGGTAGTGGTTGTAATATCCTAAATATATCAGCATTTTATAACTATTACTGTACCGCGTTGGCATACTGATAAACGTTTATATTATTGTTATAATGCGCGATTCAATATTATGGCCCCTTTCTTTTTTTCTTTCTTTCTTTCTCTCTTTTTTTTTTTTTTTTTTCTCTCTCTTTCTCTTTCTCACTCTCTCTTTTTCTTTCTTCTTTCTTTCTTCTCACACACTCTCTTCTATCTTTCTTTCTTTCTTCTGTCTGTCTGTCTGTTGTCTGTCTGTCTGTCTGTGTCTGTCTGTCTGTCTGTCTGTCTGTCTGTCTCTCTCTCTCTTCTCTCTCTCTCGTCTCTCTCTCTCTCTCTCTCTCTCTCTCTATCTATCTCTCTCTCTCCTCTCTCTCTCTCTCTCTCTCTAGATACATAGGTAGATAAACAAACACAAAAATAAACATATAAAAATTGATGGTAGACGCAAATAGATCAATAGATACAGATAACTAATATAAGGACTAATGATATGTTGAATCACAAAATTATCGAATGCCAGATATGGATAAATATTCAGTTTATTTTGTTCATCACCATGTTTAGTTTTGACATGAAATTTGTCAATGTCACGTGACTGTCATTCGAAATAATGCGCTTTTTGTGATTCGACAATTACTATTATTATCATTATTATATTATTACTGTTACTATAGTATCTATCATTATTGTTGTAAGTATTATTGTTGTTTACGTATTGTTATTACCATTATTCATCATTATTGTTATTATCATTATCATTATTATCATTAGGATTATCATTGTTATTATCACTATCATTACTATCATTGCAGCAATATTTTTACTTCATTGTTTCAGCATTGTCATCATGATCATCATTATCATTATTATCGTTATTGTCATTATTATCAGTATACTATTATTATATTACTATTTTCATCATTATCCTTATATTTGTTTATCATTTGTCATTACTATGATCACAATAATGATATAATAATAATAATTATTATTATTATTGTTATTATTACTATCATTATTACTGTTGTTATACTATTACTTTTATTGTTATTATCATTATTATGATTATTATCATTATTATCATCATTATCATCATTGTCATTATTCAGTATTGTTATGATTATGATTATTA